CCTGGATTTAGCCTCTTCAAAGCACAAACCAGGTGCTTTATACGATGCATTCACCAAGACGAATGTTTTAGGGCCAGGACATATACTAGCTCTAGCACGAATGTTTTATTAAAATGTTATTAGATACAGATGAATTTGTTTATAGCCTTAGAATAGCGGTTCCATGACTATATTTTTTTCACTTATCATATATACCTGCAAAATTCAATTTTTTTTTATTATTACATGCAAAAAATAAATACAAATGTTCGGGACTTTGCCTGTGATACATGACTAAATTACTATACTAGTGCCTTACATAATTATTTTTCAAATAATATTTCTCTATCTTTGCTCTCTTCCTATTCGATTTATCCTTCACACATATCCTATCTTCTAACAAGCTAATGATTATACCTAAAACCTTCTTGACGCCCTTACACAACGTTTGATATTCTTCAGAGTTCTCAACCAGAGCCTCTTTGACAAATTTGATGCTAAAGGAGGCCTTACTCGCCTGTAAAATTTCACCTGGAAAATAGAAGAGAAAATGCCAATCCCTGGCAGACGTCACAATCCCGTACAGATAATCAAAATAGTTCTCATCACGCTTTCATTTTCTTTTGTTCGTTTGAAATGAACTTTCGAGTTGCTTGATATTCTGAGCGAAACCTTCTGTTAATTTTTAGGACCTTATTCTCTGTAATGCAAATAAGCTCATCAGATTCCTATAAGTTTATATTTTGCTGTAAATTAACAGGTCCCTCTAAGTCTACATAGGATCTAGTAGTATGTAGAAGAAACGGTAAAAAAATACAAGACTCACCTTGATTGTATAATCGACCCACCCGCAACTTTCATCTCCAATTATTTCGTACTCAGGCCTTATACTAAATTTCTTTTTTGTGATATCTTCTGTGATACAAAAGGCAGTATGTAGTATAGTTGAAACGTACTCATTACGCATAGACTCCAAACTTGTCATTACCAACGTTCCATAACTTTTAAGTCGTAACTTGATATCTGCTATACATAGTTCGAGATGCTTATTTTTGTCTAGAATTTCGCAGATTCATAGTGTGAAAAGAGGTATAATCCCTGTACTCTCAGAAGCGAGATCATATTCTGCTAAAACTTCTTTCAAACTGCGGTATGTTGAAAAAGCCTTCAACTTCTTATCCTTGCACTCCTTAGCAAACTTCGCGAGTGTTTTTGCTGACCCTAATTTCATTTCATGACGTTCAAGCTCTTCTTGGATCAAGTCGAAGAAGTCCAGGCCATTAACCTCTTCATTCTCTAAGATTTTGATAGCTGGCTCATTAAGTTCTAAGTTCTCCTGTCCCTGCAGAAATTCTATAAGCTTGGCCGTGTTATATTTTTTAATGTCGTCCGCTAACGAGACCAACTCATTTCTAGCAACAGTAGTAGAGGTGAAAGCTGAAGTATAAGGTGTACTAGTTTTAGACATAGTGTTACATTTTTATAGAGATATTGGGCTCAGATAAAAAAAAATAGTGTTACGTTTCGGAGTGAGATTTCTGTTAAAGAAAGAGAATACTGGGCATTAATATAGGTTTTTATGTAGTACAGGCATTGCATCATTTTACGTGACCTGTTTCTCATATATGTTCGATAAAATAATACTTTATTTATGAAATAAAATAGTTGCCGGTAGCCGGCTTACATTACATAAAAATTGGCCGTTAAGGCTTCGCACAATTATATCAGCTACATAATATAAATAAAAATACTAATTATTTCTAGAGGATATACGATAATATTGATTTTCTTTTCACCAGCATAGATAAGTTGGAGTTGCATGGGAAAATAACTATAAATTGTGTTTTGCGGATTCATCAATTCTGTACCAACCAATACAGCCACATTGTTGTTTCTTAAGTCAAGGATTATGGCATTGTCGCTTATAGAGTCTCTGACCTTATATAAAACCAACCTGCTTGAATCAATATCTCGAAATAGATCTAGGCGACAGTTTCTGATTTCAACCCTGAGAGAAAAAACTCGATTGTTATTAGCGTTAGATATCATTACTTCGAAGATATCCCTTACTTTCTCACAAGGAATCAAACAGTTGAGAGTAATATTTTCGCCTTCAAGCAACTTGTCAAGTTTTGATTTATCAGATATTTCAGGCTTGTCAGGAACTGCAGTCTTATCAGACATCTTACTTTCTTAAATACAAGGCTCATAGTGAGAAAAAACTCGCTCTTATACATACATAACTTCTGGCATATACATACTTTATTTTGCATTATTTTACGGGAATGTTTTTTGCGGAAAGTTGGCTGAACTTCCACATACCTCTACATGCTTTATATATGACTGGGAAAAAGTTAAGAAGGCATGAGGCATAATTAGTATTATTGTATGATGCTAAGAGTTCTATGAAAGCACATGTAAACAGAATCTTCATACCTTTTCACATGTAGATCTACCAGAGACATATAGTTGGTTTTACGCTCAGCATTCTCGAAATTGCAAGTCCCTCAGCCTTTCATAACATATGCTTTTGCCATTAGTATTTACTTTTATGATAGGTCCTGTGTTGTGTCTAAATTTTCTTTCACATTTTTCTCATGTTTGTATGGGAAAAAAATAGAGAATAAAGGTTAATATGTTTTCTTTCGAATGTATATGCAAAATTAATATATTGCACAAGACTTGACTAATAATCTACTTATTTTTCTGTCACACAATCTGGCCGAAAGCATTGTGTATAGTCCAGTAAATTCTTCTGAGCTAAAGATCACTACTTCAGATTAGTAAGATCGGTAGAGTTTCACCATTCTGCTTGATCGTCGAGTAATGCTACCGAATAATTCCTTGGCGCTTATCTGATTATAGCTATAGTGGAGTGATCAGTACCAGAGTCCAAATTAAGTTGCTGGTATAACTGAGATAGAACTGGATTCAGAATATTATCAACACTATGCTGGGTGTTATATAACCGATCACCATTCCAGAGCAATTGTCTAGCTAGAATACAGCGTTTACTCAATCTTCTTGATAATCTGTCAATGATAAAATTATCTAAGGATGCAACATCTCTTGATGCATCATGTAGTATCCCCAGACGCCTTACGAGTTCATGGATCACATCTAGGAAAGGTACTTGAATCAGCACAAAATTCTCGACATTAATATTTAGATTAAGTGAAATAAGCTGATCTACAGCTTCTTTGCTGATATTATTACACTCTTTCAAATTAAGGTACTTTAAATTAAGACATGAACAAGCAATTTCTTCGATAGTTATATCAATAATTTGACAAAAGTTAAGGTCAAGTTGCTGGAGCCTTGGGCAAAAACGAATAACATTAAAAATTAATGTTTCAAAATATTCTGTGTGATTAGAGATATTTAGATATTCTAATCTATGGCATGACTTCGCGATTCTCCATAGACCACTGTCATCTATTTCTCAAGTATGAAAGCTCCTAAAGCTACCTAACCGATCATTGCATAGATTGAGATACTTCAGATTCAGGTATGAACCTGTTATCAGTTTTAATGCTCTATTACTAAATCCTATGCTATTTATGAAACTCAAGTGGATTATATTTGGGCATGAATGTACAATGCTTATGATTTTTTTATCTGAAAGTGAATGGTAGTATGATATTTCAAGATGAGTTACATTTGAGCAATAAACCAGTGTTTGCTTCCTACGTACTAGCTTTATGAATTTTTCAATTAAAAGAGATCCTTTGCACATTCTATCCTTATGAATTTATTTAATCAAGGGCGATCCTTTGCACAATAATTATAATCATTTGGAAGAGATTGTCTAAGATATAAGTCTTTTCCTCTCAATTCGATATGCTTTCACAAAATAGATGCACCGCATCTGTACAATAATCGGGAAACATATAGAGCGAGATAGAAGGATTTATCTATCACTAAGAAATGTAAAATCTGTTCTAATAGTTCTGGTAAATAAAAGATGCTTGATTGCGTCATAAATAATATATGCTGTATCTTTAAATGAAAAAAATAAATTATCTGAGTCCATTTTGTCATACAATACATGGCCCAGCAAATTCTTTCGAGCTGGTGATAGTATACCACTCTGGCCATATTTCACAATGAAGTTCACAAGCAAAGTGATATTTCAACCAAACTTATAATTTGTGGAAGATAGAAAATATCAGATTGTATGAATGTATGAAATAATAGCGTCAGATTTTTTACATTAGGTAGGTTAAATATAAATTGCTTAAGCGCTTTCTCTCTCTAATGCCTAACTGCCTCTGTATTCCAATAAGTTTTGATATCACAAAAAAGGTTATTCCAGTTTATATATTTATGTATTAATGGAATATCTCATTGAAATCGTGTTCCATATTCTTGGATAAATTCATCATAACCTCTACCTAACATTTTGCTAATAGATTAATTGATTATATTCAAAAAATAAAATTATACAGTACTTTGGTGATTACTGCTCCAGATTAGTTAGATCAGACTTCAAGATATTCACTCAGTTCAGAATAATCGAACACGCCTACAACTCTATTCTGTTTTATTTTCTTTACAATAATAAAGCCAGTTATCTTATCATATGTATGATCATACTTGGCTGGGTTACATAATGGCAAATATTGCGTGAGATTAGTAGTAAACTTACCTGCAGTCTTACGCCTATTATTTCTTGATTTTTTAGCCATTACTAGCTAGTTTATCCAATACAATTAATCTTTCAAAATAAACCCGTCTCTTATATTTTAAGACAGGAAATAGTTATATGTAAGTTAGATGACCTATTGCCTCAGACTATACTAGGTCAATTTTACTGATCTTATTTTTATGATGCTCTTAAGCAAATAACAAATTTAGTAACTATACATATTGATAATTTCAGATATTTCATCATTTTCCGCAGACTCCAATTCTGGCTCTGAGTTACAGTCATCTTCAGGACCAGAGTCTTCTGATTCCATATCACCTATAGCATAATTATCGCCTGCATCAAGACGGTCAGATTCTTGTCTCATTGCAATTCTTGAAAGCAGTTTAAGATGTTGGGAAGTTGGTTTCTTACCACCATAAATTCTGGAAACGTGTTTACTTCCATAATCTCTTAAATTTTTAGGTTTGATTCTATAAGGCTCTTGCTTTAAGAATTCATTAAATGGCCAAGCATTATATGTTCCAGTTTCAGTATAGACAGGGTTACGTAACTTTTTAGCCTTAATTGCATCTTGGATCTAGGTGAGTAATTTTCTGACACGTTCTGGATTCTTCTTCATGGAAAGAAATGGCTGGAGCTCAGGATTTTCCTTCTTTTCTCCTCTACCCTTTAGATAGCCTGTGTAATACCAAGAATAGCCTTCTTTATACCATGCTGAAATGTTTGAAGGATCCAGTTCATAGTGATTAATTTGAAAAGATCTTACTTCTTCTGGTCTCATACTCAACATCACTATCACATCTGTAAGATCTTCTTTAGTAGAAATTTTGGAAGTATCAATGTTTTGAAGTCTTTTACTTACATTTGTTAAGGAGAAATGTATGGGAATTCTGTCTGGATTAGCCATTCACTTTTTAGTTTGTTCTTTCTGGATTTTATTAGAATTTTGAATAAGGCCCTTATCTTTGGTAAATTCTTCAATAATTGCAGAATTTACATCACCTTCTGCTAACTTCACATGAAATGTTGACTGACGTGAAACACCGGTAATGATTTCATTTTCATCTTTATTTTTTGGATCTAAGTTTAGATGATGGGTGAAAATATCCATAACATCACCGGCTATAGCGCAGAATTCTGCCCTTCCCTCTATAGTGAGAGTTTTTTTTCTTTTATCCGATATGAAAGCGTCTATCTTCTCTTTACTAAATGAACATCTATTATTAAAACCATTTGCAAAGGCAACTTTAACATACCTGCAGGCCATCCAATCAGAAAGTAAAGCATCAAGTTCGGGAGCATGTTTGCTTAATTGTTCTGGGGTAGAGTCAGCTGACAAATTATGCTTTTCTAGGAACTGCTCTAAGACTAATACAAAGTTATTAGCTTTAGGTTTTCGGGTTTTTGGAGTAGCCGTTTTGGTAGCCATATCCATACTAACTGTTATTTAGTTATATTATGTGAGAAAAAGTTCAATTCGAAAAATTCTCTCAGAGCTATTCTTCTTCGAAAAGGGAAAATAACAGAGATGGCTCTTGACTAGAAGCGAAAAAAAATGATATAGCTTATGCTCTACCATTAAGGTACTTCGCAAACTGGCATAACACATTTTTGAATATCTATAATAAAAAATGAAGATAAGTTTAATGTATATTAATCTTAAAAACTTTTTTAGAAAGAAGTACTATGCCCTTTGGTCTCTTTAGTGAATACATATCTGATTCAGAGGATGAGAATTACCCAACTTGGCCTTACTTACATAAGAAAAAAGATAGGTCTATCTATAGGAAAAGATACTTCACAAGGACAAGTATGTCAGACACTATAAGTCTCTACCAAATAAAATGTGCACATCCTGTAATGGGCCAATCCATTCTTAGACTGGTTTTCGTATGATGTATAAGAAAAACTAACTAGAGAGTCGCAAAAAGAGTGAGTAGGTTTTGTAACTTTGGCTGAAGACGCGCTTACTAAGCTAACCCGCTAAAGCAAAGGAATTTTAAATATCTATAATAAATGTGAAGATGAAGTTTTAAGATTATTAATATCAAAATTACCTCGTATAAAATATTTTATCTGCCAATACATCAAGAGAGATGGTTCGATCTGTGGAAAAGGATGCATGAGTGAATTAGGATACGTCAGACATTATAATACCTTTTCTAGAACAATATGCCTTATCTGTAATGAGCGAACCTATTCCAAGACCAGAATCTGTAGCACACATGGTAGAATTTATGACCATGCCTGGCGTAAAAGTAAAAAAACTGAAACAGAATCGATAGTTACTTTAGTGACCCCATTTGATGCGATCAAGATACTTAGCTAAATAATGAATGATTTGATCTGAAATATTATTTTTTCTGCCCTATAAAATCAAAAAGTTCCTGGATCGATCCTTTTAGGATCATCTCGTTATCTGTATTCAGCTTATATGGTGAAAGCTCTGGCGCACCTTTATCTTCAAAATCAGTATCATTATATGGCTGACGATTAATTTTGTATGAATATTCCCAAACTTGCTTTTCTCTGGAACCTATTCTTTTTTATTACTTTTAACGGTATATTCACACCAATTGCCACCAATTGCATTAATTGCTTGTATAGCCAATTTAAGATCTGGTATTTTCTTTGCACGAGACTTAAAACCAAAGAGTAATAAAGATTGGTTTCAGATTTCTATAAACCTTTCACAAGTCCGTGTAAATGATTCTGATGCAGTATTACCAGAAAGAATACGCCTATCATTAATGCCAGTAAAGTCTAGTATTCGAAAAAGTTCTTGTATAACTTCCTAATGATTTGCTGAATAAGATTTACGCAAGTCCTCTACTACTGATTTTTTCAGATTCT